ATGTGAAATTTAAACTTTTCTAAATAATCTTAAACTCTTGAGGCAATATTTTAAGGTATAGAAGTGTATTGCAGTTGGATTGTCCAAAATTTCCCCTTTTGATTTCACCAAAGAGAGTAAAATAAAAAATAATACATTTTTCAAAATTAATCTTTAAACTTAAAAAATGCAGTAATTGTATTTTTAAGGAGAAAGGAGAGATACAGACCCAAATGATTTTCTCCTTATAGAGAAAACTGTACAGCAGATCCTCCAATAAGGTAACTTTCAACGTCGTTTTATTACAAAGTTGATGCGATGCCCTAGAAACTTAACTCTTTTAGCCTATGGTAAAATTGGTTTTGCTGCACTTCCATGACAATTGAGGACTTAAAGTACAGACCCCTACTTATAAAAACGCATCAACTTGCCCTGGCTGGTTTGGCTCAAGAGCACGTGCCTTGGTTCCAGACTCCTTCCTGGCCCGGGCCCTGGTGAATCTCGTGCAGGAGGCAACCAATCGCTGTTTCTTTCTGTCTTTCCATCTCTCTTACACTCTTCTTAAAAATCAATGGAAAAATATCCTCGGATGAGGATGAAAAAAAACACAAAACATCAACTAGACTCAGAGGTACTTTAAAAAAATAGTATACAGGCATCCCTGCAAACTCAATTCTTCTAAACTGTGATTACAGAAATTGCTGAAGTCATTCCTTTGACAAAGGCTTGATTAAATCCATAGCAGGTAGAATATGGGAACCACCTAAGGATTCATTTGGGTATTATTCAAATTAACATTCTCCCCTTTCCAGAGAATTGTTAGCATTATTATGGCCTTTATCTTCCTAAAAGCACTTGCCATTTAATAATTAGCGTGCTTTTTCTGATTCCTTGTTAGATTCTTTGAGACAAGCACAAGTGGTGCTTGCTTTTATTATTTAAACTACATTTTGATGAATCAAAACATCAAGTTCCCTACACTTGAGAAAAGTAACTTTTAACATAAAACATACTTGAATGTATAATAATTACATTTAAAAGCAGTTTTAAGTAAATAAACGCTCTTGCCAAGTGTGGTCCATGTTTTGTAACTTCCAGCATTGAAGCAGCCACTATATAAAGCAAACATATTAAATGTTAATCACTTCAGCTCTAATTAAATATTTAAGCCTACAAAGATCTAGAGAAAGTGGAAAAAAGGTTAAACTTGATTTCATGTATACAACTATTTTGAATCATATTCTCTCCCAAGATGATTAAATCAAACTGCCCTGAATTTCCCCTTTGGAATCTCCAAGGTGCAAGACCATTCTAAAATTCCTCCTTCTCATCATCATTGCCATCACCACCATCAGCATTATTGCCATATAGCTAATATTTTTAAGTTTACTCTGTGCTAAGCTATGCGCACAATTTTGCTTTACATGCAGAATTGCATCTGCTTCTTGCCACAGCCCTATGAGGTAGGTGCTATTATTATCTCCATTCAGAGTCTGAAGCTTTAGGAAGGTTAAGTAACCTGACGAATATCACATAACTAGTTTAGGTGCCTGATCACAGATTTAAAAGCAAGCTAACTTAGTTTAAAGCCCCTGCTTCTCACCTTTATTTTGCCTAAGCCCGCTTAATTAACTTAAATTTGGTATAAATAGACTTTAATTATGACCTTTTTTGGGGGGACCCATTTTGGTCTTCCCCTTCATCATCAAATGTTAAAGTATACGTTCAAGGAATAGGGAGACAAGATACAAATAATTGAAAATTTAACACAAAGATGAAAAACAACAACCCAAATAGATGATTGTGACGGCGTGGACAGAGGATGATTGCACGGAGTTTATTTAGCAACCTGGGTGCAGCCACAATTGTTTCCTGATGGCTCTAAAAGCTTTAAATAAAAGTGAAGCGGAGAGGACATTCTGAGACCAGGTTGGCTGCTTCTGTAAAGGCAGGAAGACTGGCAAGTGCTAGGTGAGTGTGAGCAAGTGAGAAGATCATAGTAGGGCTTGAGAGAAGGAAGGGGGCGTAGAAGGGGGGGGGGGGGGGGTGTCAGGTACATTTACACTTGATGTCTTAGTACCAGGGGCAGTTTTAGACCCCAATAGGAGGAAATCTTTAAGTCCTCAGGAGTTGAATTTGGGTCATTTCATCTCTTCTCCTTTAGCTGTTGTATGACTCGGTGTCACCCTACTCATGTTTCATTTTTCTAAGTGTAAAAAGGGAATGACTCTTGTTCCCTTGTGTTTTCTCCTAGTCATCAAAAAGGAACCGGGCAGCTTGGTTGGTTGGAGCATCTTCTTTCCCAATAATGCCAAGGTTCAGGTTGGATCCTGGTCAGGGCACACACAAGAATCAACCAATGGGCCGGCTCCTGTGGCTCAGTGGTTGTGCATCCACCCATGAACCAAGAGGTGGCTGGTTGATTCCCAGTCAGGGCATATGCCCTGGTTGCAGGCTTGATCCCCAGTAGTGGGTGTGCAGAGGCAGCCAGTCAATGATGTTTCTCTCTCATCAATGTTTCTCTCCCTTCCTCGCTCTCTAAAAATCAATAAAAACATTAAAAAGAAAATCAGCCCTAGCCAGTTTGGCTCAGTGGATAGAGCATTGGCCTATGGGCTAAACTTATAGCGGTCGCCAACCAGTGGTCCGTGAGGTCTGAAAGGCTGGCGACCACTGGTGTAAGGAAACCTTGTCCAGGGTTCGATTCTGGTCAAGGGCACATGCCTGGGTTGCAGGCTTGATCCCCCCCGGAGGCAGCTGATCAATGATTCTCTCATCATTGATGTTTCTCTCTGAAGTATGGTAGCTATCATCTCAGGTAGAAACTGTAGTCTAACTTTAACCCTGCTGTTTGGCTTCTGTACTTATTTGCTTTAACAACTGAAAAGTTACTTTGATTTTCTGAATTGTATAAATCATCCCATTCGATTGAATGCCTTATTGATTGTCATGTGACTATCTCATTGATTGTGATCTTTCTGGTTTTAGAAAGCACATTCCTCTGTACCTGGGAACCAGGACAACACAATTATCCCAAGATCTGAGGGTTCCAGATAATGTTTCCCTGTCAACTCAGTGGTCCCAAGACCCAAAACTATAATTAATCTTTGTAGATAACTAATCGGCTCAATCTCGCTTCTGTAACTGCTTTGTGCAAACCAGGATCCTCATTCCAAACCCTGGGATGTAATCAATACCTTTGTGATTTTTGCCTATTATAAATCTGGTGTTGAGGCCATCTTATGGCTGTGAGATTTGGGAGAGCAAAATGCCCCCTCGTAGTCCCGGATTGCAATAAATGTGACTCTTTAATTCGACTTCTTGAGGCGTCCTACTGTGATTCGCGAGGTACATTACAACATCTCTCTCTCCCTTCCTCTCTGAAATCAATAAAAAAATATTAAAAATAGAAAAAGAATCAACCAATGAATGTATACGTGGAACAACAAATTGATGTTTTGCTCTCCCTCCCTCCGTCTCTCTCTAAAACCAATCAATAAAAACTTTAAAGAATGTATGTTAGCAGGACCAGTGTGGCTCAGTGGTTGAGCTGCAACCGATGAGCCAGAGGGTCAGGGTTCGATTCCTGGTCAGGGCACATGCCGGGTGCGGCTTGGTCCCCAGTGTGGGGCGTGCAGGAGGCAGCCAATCCATTTTATTTCATCACTGATGCTTCTGTCTCTCTCCCCCTCTCCCTTCCTCTCTGAAATCAATAAAAATGTATTTTAAAAAATGAATGAGTTAAGCCACAGGACACAGAGGAAAATATATATTTTCTAACAAATTCAAAAACGTTGTAAAATATCTGGGCATCTTTATAAACTCAGCGCTGCAGAAAACTTCTAATGGGACACTGAAGTTCATTAATGACTTGCAGGTGTACGGATCCTCCAATATGCTTTTCTTCTTTGAAGCGGCAGGATCTTGAAAAAAATTAAAGTGGGGTAGAGTTAGCTTTTACTTACTTCCGCCACCGACAACCCCACTCACGCATTACAGAGTTTTAATGTACTCATTTCTGCGTCATGGCCAACCCTACGTGAAGTGGAAAGAACAAAGGAGGAACGTCGCCTCGGTCCGTTTTCCGTGTCATTTCCTCGGGCGAGAGGGGGTTTCCCCGAGACACGCCGGGCCGCCAGCGGGTGCCGGGCTGCCCGCCGCCCCTCCCGGCCGGGAACGGCCGCGGCGTGGGAACCGAGGGCCCGGGCGCAGCCCCACGCGCGCTTCGGCCAGGCGCGCTCCTCCCCGCCCCCCGCGGGCACCGCGCTGGCGTCGTGATGTCCTCTGCCGGGCCCACGCATCACCGGCGGAACCAGGTTCCTTTCTGCTCTTTTAAAATAAAAATCTTGAGAATCGTGTGTGCGTGTGTGTGCGGGGGGGGGCGGGGGAGGTGACGTCTCGCACGGGCTGACAGTCGTGATCTGGACCCCGCGCCCCATACGCGGGGTTCTCCCCGTTTGACTCCGGGCCTGCGCCCCTCCGCTCCTGCCGCGGAAGCGCCGTGACTCACATCTTTCAGATGCTCCCCCCACGCGCCCCACACACCCGCCCGCGAGGACCCGGCCCGCGCCCACAGCGTGGCGTCACCCCGCCCAGGCCGACCAGGAGGGCTCGGGTGTGAGTCACACGGAAAGACCACCCTCGTCGGCATCCCCACACACGTCGTCCCTCACACCGACGCCGGCCGCCCGGCCTCCCCGGCCGCCCCGCGTCTCTGCGCAACGTGTTTGGCTCCAGCTCGAGCCCTTGACCCAAAAACCTCCGAGGCAGAGCCGCAGAGCCGGCCTCGCGCGGCCTTTGAAGGCTTTGTTATTGTTTGGGTTTGAATCGATACGCCCCTCCCCATCCTTCCTCCCGGCGGCTCTACACCCAGCTCCCGCCTCCCGCACGCCCCGCGCCCCTCCCCCTCCATTTTGGCGCCTTTTCCTTCCCGCCACGTCGTGGCGGCGTAGAGACCATTCTGACCGCGAGAGCAGGGCGGGGCGGGGGCGGGGCGTCCGCGTTATGCAGATCAGTCGGCCTCTGGTTGGCTGGGGATGCGCCGGCGGGGGCGGGGCCTGGGCGCGGCGCTCGAGCGCGCGGGGCGGGGACCAGGGGAGTCGCCCTGGCCCGCGGCTTCCCTACCCCCTCTCCTCCCTCGGTCTGCCCGGCAGCCGGCTCCCCGCCTAGGCCCCCGGGAGAGGCCCCGCCCCTTCCCCGCCCGCCCGCGCCCCCCGCAGGCGCGCTCCGCCCCTTTACTCCTGGCGGCGGTGCGAGCCCGGCGTCTGCTACAGCGGCCGCGGCGGCGAAGGCCCGAGAGGACTTGGCGGCAGCGACGGCGGCGGCGGCGGCGGGACGAGCAGCAGCAGCAGCAGCAGCAGCTACCAGCCCCCGGTGCCGCGGCCCTGCCACACGAGTCCCACGAGCCGCCAACCCCGTCGCCCTCGGCGCTGCCTGACCCCGCGGGTGCGTCCGCCAGCCGACAGCCCCGGCAGAGCCCCCAGTTGTCCTCCGACTCGCCCTCGGCCTTCCGCGCCAGCCGCAGCCTCGCCGCATCGCCGCCCGCAGCCTTAGCCCAGCCCTAGGCGCCGCCCGGTCCCCGGCTCCTGCGGCAGCGGCTCCAGGCAGTCCCTGCGCCGACACCCTGGAGGGTGGGATGCTCTTGTCCAAAATCAACTCGCTTGCCCACCTGCGCGCCGCGCCCTGCAACGACCTGCACGCCCCCAAGCTGGCGCCCGGTAAGCGCCCCCCTCCCCCGGGATGGGGCCGGGGCTGGACCCGCCGGCGGGGAGCTGGGGGCTCGCGGGCCGGCACTGAGTCCCCTGCTCCCCCCCTTCGCTAGGCAAGGAGAAGGAGCCCCTGGAGTCGCAGTACCAGGTGGGCCCGCTGCTGGGCAGCGGCGGCTTCGGCTCCGTATACTCAGGCGTCCGTGTCGCCGACAACTTGCCGGTGAGTGGGCGCCACGCCGTGGGGGGGGGGGGCGCGGGGCGGGGGCGGGGAGAGGGGGCGCAGGGCTGTGTGTTGGCCCCAGCGAGGGGATCTAATGTCGGCTCTCCGGGGGTGATTTCCAGGTGGCCATCAAGCACGTGGAGAAGGACCGGATTTCCGACTGGGGCGAGCTGGTGAGTGCGCAGGAGGGAGCGGACCCCCAGGGTGGGGGGGTGGGGTGCGGGGCGCCCTCCGCCTCGCGCGCTCACGCAGCCTCCCGGTGCCCGCAGCCCAATGGAACCCGGGTGCCCATGGAAGTGGTGCTGCTGAAGAAGGTGAGCTCGGGCTTCTCGGGCGTCATCCGGCTCCTGGACTGGTTCGAGAGGCCCGACAGTTTCGTGCTGATCCTGGAGCGGCCGGAGCCGGTGCAGGACCTCTTCGACTTCATCACGGAGCGGGGGGCCCTGCAGGAGGAGCTGGCCCGCAGCTTCTTCTGGCAGGTGCTGGAGGCCGTGCGGCACTGCCACAGCTGCGGGGTGCTCCACCGCGACATCAAGGACGAGAACATCCTCATCGACCTCCACCGCGGCGAGCTGAAGCTCATCGACTTCGGGTCGGGGGCGCTGCTCAAGGACACCGTTTACACGGACTTTGACGGTGAGCCAGGCCGGGGCGGGAGCTGCCGGGAGGGAGCTGCCCAGGTGACTCGGCCGGGCCCGGAGGCCTCGGGCCAGCTTCCCTCTCTGGCCCTTTGTAAAGGTCATCGGGCAGCCTGGCTCCATGATAGATAGCAGGGGTGGGGCGAAGGGAGCTTCCCAGCGTAGTAAAGCCGGGGATTTCAAGCCAGCGGAACCTGTAATGTTTCTGGCACGATTTTATTTTATTTTATTTTTTTAAAGTAGAATTCAGTGGGTTCCAAGCTTTTCGGATGAATAAGAGGTTGTGGGCAACCGGCCGTAGCCCAGATTTCTGAAGTCTGACCCAGTTTCCCCGCCAGGAATAGGATGGGAGGTGGAAGAGGGAGGAGAGAGTGGGAGAGATGAAAATTGATGCCAGTTTTTGTAGTTTTTTTTGCTTTGTTTTAGAAGAGTTTAGCTTTCTGTAAGGTAGTTTTTAGACTGCATTTTTTTCCTCCCCTTTGATCTAGGGACAGATAAGGGCTAGAGACAGAAATAGTTTCACTAAATAATTCATTTTGTTGATTTTTTTTTCGGTGTTGTTCAGTGAGGGCGTCGGGAATGAATGTTGTGAAATAAGATCTCTTGCTAGTTTGAAAATTAGTTGGGTGTCTCCGAAGAGGAGGAAAACCTATCCTAGGGAGGGGCTTGGAGCAGGTTCTTTCAGAAAAGGTGGAACGGAGAGCCGGCGATCAAAGCCGAGTGGGGTGGGTCACCTGAGCCGCTTAGCCTAAAAAACGACAGCCTTTCAAAACTTGTGACTGGGGCTTGTGGTTTGTGTTTATTTGCCCTTGGAGGACGCTGGGCTGGGCTGCATTTTTTTGTATTTAGCAGTTAATGGCTGGTCGGATCCTCCCATGTTTTTTTTCTTTCGAGTCTTTGCTGCCCCCTGGTGAGCACCAGAAGAATGGCCCCTCCTTTTTTTTTTTTTTTTTTACAACCCAAAGTTTGTAAACAGGAATCACGTGGTCTGAAACCAGCTCTGCAGATCTGTCTACCTTTCCAGTGTGGGGAGGAAAGGGCGTGGGTGTCTGCGCCTGCACTCAGGGCGGGAGGAAGGCCTCCCAAAGGGCACCCTGACTTAGGATATTGTGCAAGTGCCCTCACCTACACATATCTGAGTTAAGAATCTCACCCTGGCTCCTGGGCAACCTTTAGATCAGTTTAGGGTTTGTCTGTGGGATACCTCCCCTGATTATGCAGACATTCATCCCTTTATCCCCCTGTGGGTGGTCCTGCCCCATACAGGCCTCAGGCTCTGGGTCTTCGGCCAGCCCCTTGGTTTCTTAGAGCAGCCTGTAAAGACTTTCAGTTTATGGTCTGGGCTGGTAGAGAGGTGGGTAATGCTTTGGGTTGGAGAGATGCCATAAGCTGCTTATCCACTCCTTTGAGCTCAGGGAGGTAAATTGAGTTCACCAGCTCCCGAGGGAAGGGCTGGGGTGCCTTTTGTTTTAAAGAGTTACTCAGGATACCACTCAGTTGCTTTGAGTTTTATTTTTGCTAAAAGTGTGTTTTCCTTCTTATTCCCCTGGCTCACAGGGACCCGAGTGTATAGTCCTCCAGAGTGGATCCGCTACCATCGCTACCACGGCAGGTCGGCCGCGGTCTGGTCCCTGGGGATCCTGCTGTATGACATGGTCTGTGGAGATATTCCTTTTGAGCACGATGAGGAGATCGTCAGGGGCCAAGTTTTCTTCCGGCAGAGGGTCTCTTCAGGTAACTTCTGGAAACCCCTTGTTGAAGAGAAGCAATCTGGGGATTGCTTTCACAGCCTTTGAATTCTGGGGAGCTTCACTCTCCAGGAGGTGGCCAGCCTGTGACTTCCAGTCCTAGGCCAGCAGTTCCCCCTTGAGAGCTGACCCCCAGGAAGCCGAGGGTTTGCCGTTGAGCATTCTTGGGGGAGGTCAGAGGAAGGGCAGGTGTGCAACTAGTAACAAAAGACAACTAGTTTCTCTGAAAGGGTGTTTAAAGTACCAACAGAATCATCCTGAGCCCTCAGTGCCTGGCTGGTTTGCCAGGGAGGAAAACGTGGAGTGCTTGCTGAGCCTTCTCCCTTACGTGGAGGCCGGCTCTAAACATTGTGGTCCCAGTGACCTCACTGTGGGTGGTGTTCATATTTGTAAGTTGGTAGGTGAATTGAATCACCTCCTGCTCACTGATGTCTCATCACAATCCCTAGTCATCCTCCTCCGTATTTCTGGTGGGTGAGTGGGTGTCGTGGGAAAGGCTGTAGCTATTGAAATTTGAAACCACAGATTTAAGAGGGGTGCTGTGTTTTTTTTAGCTGAAAGCAGACGGTTGGATCCAGATGTTATATTCTCACTAAAGAATATGATTTCTAGAAAGTATGTGGTCTCTGTTGGACCTCAGACTTGTGGGTCCTTGGAAGGCCCTTGCATCACAAAAACAAACTGAGTCATTCATAACCTTTCTTGTTTCCTGCAGAGTGTCAGCATCTCATTAGATGGTGCTTAGCCCTGAGACCATCCGATCGGCCATCCTTTGAAGAAATCCAGAATCATCCGTGGATGCAAGATGTGCTCCTGCCCCAGGAAACTGCTGAGATCCATCTCCACAGCCTGTCGCCAGGGCCCAGCAAATAGCAGCCTTTCCAGCAGGTCCTCCCCTCCTGGCAGATGCTCCAGGGAGGGGGAGATTTTGTACCAGTGACACTTCTCACCAAGCAGCACAGTGCTTGATACAGGAACAACATTTACAACTCATTCCAGACCCCAGGCCCCTGGAGGGGCCTCGGACAGGGGAAAAGAAATTCCTCTGGGTGTCCTAGGCCTCAGTTCCTCGTAGATGCTCTCTCCTTCTCATAGGTGTGCAGCCAGCATTGCTGGACTCCGCAAAATCCCGGGGGTGGGGAGGGTGGGGGAGGGGGTGGGGGTCAGAGCCCTGTCATGGAACTGTTCCCTTCACTGAATGCCGTGATGGTCAGGTTAGGGGAAAACGGGTTGGGGATAGGACTAGCACCATTTTTTAAGTCCCTGTCACCTCTTCCTTGACTCTTCTGAGTGCCTTCTGTGGGGACTCCGGCTGTGCTGGGAGAAATACTTGAACTTGCCTCTTTTACCTGCTGCTTCTCCAAAAATCGGCCCGGGTTTGGTTTTCCCTGTTTTTCTCTCCCGCCCCCTTCTCCCCACCCTTCATAAGAAAGGTGCCATGGAAGAGGCTACAGGGCCAAACGCTGAGCCACCTGCCCTTTTTCTGGTCTTCCTTTTTGGTTTTTACTTCACTGTTTCAAAGCCAAGACCTCACACACACAAAATGCACAAACAATGCAAAATCAACAGAAAAACTGTAAATGTGTGTACAGTTGGCATGATAGTGTACAAAAGGATTGTAGTTGATCTAATTTTAAAAAATTTTTGCCTTTAAGTTATTTTACCTGTTGTTCTTTTTTAGTTTTGTTTTTTGGGGTTTTTTTGTTTTTTGTTTTTTGGTTTTTTTTTTTGAAAGATGCGCATTTCTAACCTGGAGGTCAACGTTATGTATTTATTTATTTATTTATTTGGTTCCCTTCAGCTCCAAGCTTCCACGGCTGCTGCCATAGTTTTCTTTTCCTCCTCTAACTTGGGGACCTTTTGGGGGACGGCTACAACACTTGCTCTGTTCTTAGGGTGATGGGGCTCAGGCGGGACTGCTGCAGGCCCCTCTTGCCTGCTTACCCAAGTGGGTGGGTTCTGTGGGGAGGGGAGTTACCGACTTGTGTATATAGGGTAGATAGCTGGAAACCAGTTCTGGACAGTGTGCCTTCCGGATCCTCTCTGGGGCTGTGTTTTGAGCAGCACGTAGCCTGCTGGTTTTACTGAGTGAAATACTGTACAGGGGAATAAAAGATAATCTTATTTTTTTTTTTTATACCTGGCGTTTTTTGAATAAAAACCTTTTATCTTAACTTGTGGCTTCTAAGTGTTATCTATGCAGACTTGCTAATGCGCTTTTATTAAACCACTTGGTAAGTGTCAAAATCTAACCTAGGAGGAAAAAGGGAATTTCAGCTTAAATCAGGTTCCTTCAACAGGACTTCTGGGAATAATCGCTTTTCTGAAACAATGTATGGCTGGGGCGGGGGGGGGGGGGGGGTTAGCAGTCATATGGACACGATTTGGCTTGAGGGGCCCCCATAAGGTCCTACCTAGTCTCTGTTCCTAATGCAAATTCTCGTTTCTCTAATACAGCACGGGGGGCTGTTTCCCAGTTGCACTAGCCACATTTCATGAAATAGCTGCTTGTGATGAGGGGCCCAGGAAATGGAGGACATTCCCATCATTGCAGAAGGTTCTAGTGAGCAGGGCTGAGTTGTCAAACAGCCCTACTGTCCCCCACTAGTAAAACTGAGCACGAACCCATACTACATATTGCAGTTATTAGAAAAACTAATTACTCTTAGTTTACTGACTCAAGTTTCCTTCATATGCAGTGTGGGGTTTGGCCATGAATAATGGTGGATGAGGAGAAATGTGCTTTTTGACAAGCAGACAGGATTTTCCCCTCCAATGTGCTTGACAACAGGTTTATAAACGACTAGGGGCTCAGTGCACGAATTCATGTGGGTAGGGTCCCTTGGCCTAGTCCTCTGCAATCAGGGCCATCTTCTGCCCATTCGCCAGCCCCAGGCTGAATGCCGCCTCTGCCGCTGGGCTGTCAGGCCATTGGGATCACCAGCTCATCCCCGGGGCCACTTGCAGGTGCCACCGCCGCCACCGCCACTGCTGCTGCTGGGGCTTGAGGTGCTGACAGAAGTTGCGACCTACTCACCCCGGCATGAGCGCCCTGAGCGGGCAGCACGTTCCATCAGTGGCTGGCCTGGCACACATGCATGGAGGTGAGGTCGCCGGTGCCCGCTTTCCTGCAGGCCTGAGCCCCCAAGCAGCCGGGGATCAGCTGGTGATCCTAACAGCCTGACAGCCAGCCCAGTCCTCCCGCCACCCACCCCGATTCCCCCGTTCACCATTGCTGACCCATCGGAGCCTGTGGGCCGAGGGGCAAGGACCAAGAGGTGCTCAATGCACCTCATGGTGACCGGTCATTTGGTCGTCCTGGTCATCACAGACACTAGCTTTTTATATCTCTATATAAAAGGCTAAGTTGACTCACGCATGCGCAATACATATAAAGCTCTCGCTGGCGCCAATCACATGCATGCATTTCAATCTGTCATTGTTGATCGTGAATTTGGTTGATACTTCTATTATAGAGAAAGGGCGAATAGCGATATTAAAATATTTCTTCTAATTAATTTCTTTTCAATGTGCACGAATTCATGCACTGGGACACTAGTATAGAGATAAGTGAGATGTTCAATTTTCTTCCATTATCCCTGGTTGAGATAATTAGTATTTGTAGTACGTTGTTTCTTTGCAGGAATCTTTAAGCCCCTTATTCATTTATATATACATTTTTTTTAATCCTTACCCAAGGATATGTTTACTAATTTTATACTGAGTGGGAAATAGAGAAACATCACTTGGCCGCCCTCCCCGACCCCCATACATGCCCGGACCTCGGACAAATGTGAAACCCAGGTATGTGCCCTGACCGGGAATCAAACCCCGTGGCCTTTTGCTGTACACCTTTTGGCTTACGGGATGCTGCTCCAACCAACCGAGGGACCCAACCAGGGCCCTTGTTCATTTCTTGAGTTTTGTTTAAACCGGATGGTAGATAGGACCGCCTGGTGGAGGCCTGCTATGCTGAAAGCACACTCAATTTGCATAAGTATTAGTAAAGGTGGGCTTCTTGCTCATGCGCATCGGCAGCAGTTCTAACATTCTCCCCGTGGGTCATCTTGTCCTCTCCCCTTGGTGCATACACACATCCTCTGGACACTGGCCAGGATGCTGTCTTATCAAGATGCTTGAGAGTCCAGGCTGTAATACCCATCACTTCTCGTCGTCTACCCTTCAGCTTGGATTAGATCCCAAGCCCTAGCTCTACCCCTGTGGCTGCAGGAGAGGAAGGGAGGATTTCTTGGTTCTGGGGGCTGATTTTCTAGGTTCCCCTTTTCCCTCCCTTCCCCCATCTCACACCCTCTTGGAACATGAGGGTTGCATGCCTCATCCTTTCCAGTAAAGTTGACACGTGAACAATTAAAAATTGCCCCAAACTTATAACGAAATCTAGTAAAGCCCCACCCTTGTTCCCCTTGAGTTTCTGGCAGTTCCCCATCCTCTACTGAGACTACTAAGAGTCTCTGAAGAAATACATATCGTGCTTCTGTTGGGTACAAAATACTAGGGGTTGTATAGGAAGGGTGACAGATCACATGTAGTCTCTTTTTTAAAGTCTAGTGTGGAACGGAAGTCAGATAACTAATATGACTGTGTGGCCAGAAGGATATAGAGGGAGCAATCTTTAGGAGCATCACCTTGGGAACCCTCCTCGGCCTTTGAAGCCTTCCACCACTTACCTGGATGCCTTGGGAAAGGCATGCTCTCTGAGGCTAATCTCCAAATAGAGCTACTCCTGGATTGGATTATTAGGAAGATGCTTTTTAAATAATGGGAAGATTGAGTTAAATATGAGAGTACTCATGCAAACAAATACTAGCTCCTGCTTATGGATGCAGATGTATATGCAGTAAAAGTACTAAGAAGTACAGGGCAATAAAGTCCCAAAGTCAGGATAGTGGTTATTGCTTCTGGGGAGGAGGCAGGGAGGTTGGGATTTTGGGAGGGATATCTGTACGGGGCCTTTCGACTATTTGGGCAAGGCTTCATTTCATGAGCCAGATGGCAAAGATTAAGGTGTTTGCATTATTCTTTTTTTTTAATTGAGTTTATTGGAGTGGCATTGGTTAATAAAATTATATAGGTTTCAGGTGTACAACCCTATAAGACATCATCTGTATATTGTACTGTGTGTTCACCACCTAAAGTCAAGTCTCCTTCCATCACTATTTATCCCTCCTTTACCCTCTTCTACCATTCTTTATTATTATTATTATTATTATTATTATTATTGATTTTTAGAGAGAGAGGAAGGGAGGAAAGGAGAGGGAGAGAGAAGCATTGATGTGATAGAGAACCATCAATCAGCTGCCTCCTGCACACCCCCTACTAAGGATTGAACCAGCAACCCCTCCATGTGCCCTGACCAGGAATCGAACTGGCAACCTTTTGATGCACAGGATGATGCCCAACCAACTGAGCCACACTGGCCAAGGTCACCCTGCATTATTCTGTATAGATTTTTTAATCTTAAATATTTCATGATAAAATTTTATTTTATTATATTTATTGATTTTTAGAAACGGTAAGAGAAAGAGAAAGAGAGAGAGAAACATTGACTTGTTGTTCCACTCATTTATGCATTCATTGGCTGATTCTTATAAGTGCCCTGACTGGGGATCGAACCAGCAACCTTGGCATATCCAGGACAATGCTCCACTCAAGTGAGCTACCTGTCCCGAGCCTCATGACAAAATGTAAAAAGTAATGAACAAATTAGTGTTTATCCCATAGGAGATAATGCCTCCTTGGCTGAGGTGATCTGGGAAGGCTTCAAAGAGGAGGCAACATTTCAACTGGACTTAAAGGATGAGCCTCGGTTTGTTCACCTGTAAATTGAACATGCAGATAGAGCAGAGAAGTCCAGGAGGGCTGATGTTTCCCCCATTATATCAGGGATCAGCACAGTACGGCCTGCTGACCAAGTCTGGCAGACCGCCTGGTTCTGTGCGCTTGCACACTAAGACTGGGTTTTACATTTTGAAATGGAAGAAAAAGTTCAAATGAAATTTTTTTTTGTTAATCCTCACTCGAGGATATTTTTTGCTATTGATTTTCAGAGAATGGAAGGGAGGGGTGAGGGAAGAGAGCGAGCGAGAGAGATAAACATCGATGTGAGAGAAAGATATTGATTGGTTGCCTCCTGCATGTGCCCCTACCAGGGTGGGGATGGAACCTGCAACCCAGGCACATGCCCTTGACCAGGAATAGAGCCTGTGACCCTTCTGTGTGAAGGCTGACACTCCAACCACTGAACAACACTGGCCAGGGCAGAATATTATTTTGTAACACATAAAGATGATATAAAATTCAACTATCAATGTTCATAAATAAAGCTCACCCAGTTGTGAATTGTCTGTGGCTGCTTTAGTGCTGTAGGGGCAGAGTTGAGTAGTTGTGACCTTATAATTGGCAAAACCGAAATATTTGCCATGTGGCCCTTCATAGAAAAAATTGGCTAACTCCTGCACCAGTCCACGGTCTCTTTGATTCATTTGCCTCTTTCTTAACACTTAGCCATAATAGCTAACACTGGCTTTGCACATATTAATGTAATCTTACAACAAATGCCCATGAGGTAAATGCTATTATGACTTATCCCCATTTTACAGATGAGGAAGACTGAGGTGCAGAGCAGTTCATTCCCATGTCCAAGTCACATACCTAAGAAGTGGCCAGGTCAGAATTTGGACCCAGGCTCATCATCGCTCTGCTAATCTGCCTTGTATAAACATTTGGGAAGGTTACTTCAGGGCCCAGGACCTGGTGGTCAGGGCAGGCCTTCCCCAAACTCTAGAGAGCCGGGTAAGCAGTTCTGTTCTGTGCCAATATTCATTATTAGCTCCTGTGGGCTGCCCTTCACTTGGGCCTGGGCAGGGAGGAAGAGTAGGAGGCGGCAAAGGGAGGAGAGAGGGGACCAGGGGGAGGGGGAAGGGGTGGAGCAAGTGCACATTTCTTGTAAATGTTGCTCAGCTCCTTCAACTGCTCTGCTGGTTCTTGGAAACCCTTACCACAAAGGGCCTATCGAGAACAGTGTTGTAGCAGATATGGCCTCATCTCCCCAGCTCACTTCCTGCCCAGCCTTGTGCTAGTAACCCCGATTGCAAAGAGCAAGGTTACAGTGACCCCCAGCATCGCTGTGGGAGGAAGTGCAAAAATAAGCAGA